GAGGCTCCAGCAGCTACCCTGCGAGTTTGGAGCCTCTCCCTCAAACTCCCTCCCCTCCAGCCCCCAGAATATACCCTATGTTTTCGCCATTGACTTCAATGACCCATAGGATATAATGGGGCTGAAATTGACATTCGGCTGGCTGAAAGACTCCGGAATCAGCTGGCACTGACGAAACTGACATAAGGGAGTCTTACTGCCAGCCAAAATTGATTCTGCCCGATTCGGCCGAATCCGAATGGACCCATTTTATTTTATTTTTTGCACATTCATACAGGAGACATTGAGGCAAGGTCTCTGAGCTTGGAAGGGGAGCTGATGGTCCTGATCCCTTCAGTGGAAAATCCCTACATTGATCAGGTGGCGGCAGTGAGTTACCCTAGTGTAAAGAATAAGTAGCCCCTTCTATGAGTTGGCAACACCAAGGAGGAGTGGGCAAACCAGGGTCTGCAAGTTAAAGCAGGCCTGTTCTGCCTCACACCCTGTGATTTTGTGGCTTGTTGTTCCAAGCAAGAAGCACACATTTAATTCTCCAGTTGACTTTACTGGAAGTGCCATTGGTTTTACTAAATAGTGGTCTCCAGTTCATATATTGTTAATTCACTCGCCAGATTAGCTCCATAAACACTGAAGCTTCAGACCATATTCAGTGTAGCTCAGTTTTCAGTTCTATAGGGAAATATCACTGCTTGCCAAGTAACAGCCCAAACCTATCTAAAGATTCAGATCAATGTAGCTGGACTTCAGTTTACTTGGATCTTATCTGAAGCAGTGTGCACAGTCTTAACAGAGAGAAGAGTTATGACTGAAATATATATGCAAATTGTATAGGCTTCTGTATTTTTATTATTAAGATTATTATTTGCATGGATAACCACTAAAACAGAGAAAGTGCTAGTGAAAAGTAAGACTGGTCACAAATTAGGCTTTTAAATATTTTTATGGCTATATTTATATACAGAGTGTAAGTGATTTTATGGCTTTGTTTTATAATAGCCATTTAGCTTGACAGGTTTTAAACATCCCCAAAAAATTAATACTCTCACTGTTGGCTAAAATTGACACATTGTTATGTCTGATGCATTTTTCTTTGTAATATTTTTACTGTGTGTTGGGTTATGACAAACCCATTTCAATAAAATGATTGATACACTTGTCAAATCAAGTATAGTAATAAATGTATTCCTTTTTCATTGCTGGAAATAAATACATGGTGGTATAATAGTTCAGAGGAGTGCATTAACATCCTACCTGTTAGAGCAGTTAACACATTCAAAACATCATTCACAGTTAATTTTTCACAGTTTGGCTATAAGTTATCTAAATTTAGAAATATTAAATGTCATGAAAATTAACAAAACATTGGTTCCAAGTCAAGCGCTTCTAAGTACCCACTGAAGAATTATTTCAGTCATTGTGATTTTGGTGCTCTTACGTTGCACACTGGGAAAAGGCACTATGTGCAATCCCTTCAATATGTGCCATTGTCACTTTGTGTGAATCTGTCAACACATGTAATTTCCAGCTTCATTATATGCAATAGGAAATCTAGATTTATTTTTTGAGTATGTATTTGCAAATACCAAAGCTGGAAGACAGAACAGATAAAAGGAGGTACTTCTTCACCCAAAGAGTAATTAACACATGGAATTCAGTGCCGCAGGAAGTGGTGGTGGCTACAAACATGGACGGCTTCAAGAGGGGATTGGATAAACATATGGAGCAGAGGTCCATCTGTGGCTATTAGCCACAAGGTATAGCTAGGAACTCTCAGTCTGGGGAAGTGATGTTCTGTGTTCTTGGTGCTTGGAGGGCAACTGTGGGAGGGCTTCTGGTGTTCTGGCCCTGCTGGTGGATCTCCTGATGGCACCTGGGTTTTGGCCATTGTGTGACACAGAGTATTGGATTAGGTGGTCCATTGGCCTGATCCAACAGGGCTTCTCTTATGTTTTCTTATGTTATAAGATAAACCCATTTCCATATACACAACCAAAAGGGGACCAAGCATATGGAGATAACTGTGCTCACTATAGAACAAATTTAGAGTCTAGTGGCGCCTTTAAGATCAACAAAAGTTTATTCAAGATATGAGCTTTTGTGTGCAAGTTACACTTTTTCAAATGTGCTTATTATATTTATGTGTAGCATGTGATGTAGGAGCACACAAACTAAAAAGAGCTCAATTTCAAGGAGGGGGAAGTTAATTTGTTCATTCCTTGGAACAATTGGTACTATAAAATTATTAATTGATAGATTGCCATTAATCTTACCTCTGCAGATAGGAACTGGAAAATCCCAGGATGCTGTGTTCACTGAGTTTGCTATACAAGTGAGCTGGGGGTGTCCATCCAAGATGTATCCTGTCACGCAGCTGTATCGGATTTTATCACCAACATCAAACCTTGCACCATACAAGATGCCTTTGGGTGGAACTCCAGGATTTCCACAAGAACTGCTCTGTAATTCTATAAAAAATGAAAGGAACAATATATCATGACAATGTGTGTGTGTGCACGCGTGCATGCATAAAGTGGTATCACGTCTCAGCTTACTTGTGGAGACCTCAGCAAGGGGCTTTCAAAGCAAGTAAGAAGCAGAGGTGGTTTGCCATTGCCTTCCCCTGCAGAGTTTTCCTTGCTGGTCTCCCTTACAAATACTGCCCTGTTTCTGAGCTTCTGAGATCTGACGAGATTGGGCTGCCTTCCATGCTGCCTTCCCTCCCATCATGACAGTGTACACAAAGACCAAAAAAAATAATTAAAAAAAGAGACCTGCTCAGTAAATCATAGGAAATAATGCAAAACCTAACCTGGATGTCCCAGGCTACCCCAATGTCATCAGATCTTTTGAAGCTAAGGAAGATTGGCCCTGGTTAATACCTGGTTAATGGGCGATCATGAAGGAAGTCCAAGGTTGCTACATAGAGGCAAGCAATGGAAAACCACCTTCGTTCATCTCTTGCCTTAAAAACACCATGTCGTACGTTGGCTGCACTTCCCACCATTACCAATAAAACAAACATTCTTATAGAGGTCCCTGCCACACGGGGGGGGGGGAGCGCGGGCAAAGGGGGGCTTTTGAAAGCTGCACCAAAATAAAACCGGGGTGGGGGGGTCAAAAAGATCCGATCCCGTGAGCCACCGCGCAGTTGCTCCCCGGCACGATCAGATGCCGGGGAGACCGGGGAGAAAGCGAAGAGACAGAGACGGAGGCTGCCGAACTGCGCATGTGTGAGCATGTGCAGTTCAGCCAGGGGTCTTGGATGCGCCGGCAGAAGGACGCGGCGGCGATCCCATGGCCGCGCTTGATGCGGCCGTGCTGGTAAGTCCACCTCTGTAGGTGGTTTATTTTAGATGCGGCTTTTCGGCCTGAAAGGCCGGATCGGGGACGGGTGCACAACGTTTCCCAGATGTTGCGGTGGGATTGTGCCCGTTTGCTGTGCCCCCGATCCCTCCCTCTCCCGGCCCAAAACCTTTCGTGTGACCGGGGCCAGAATAGAGCAAGAGCTCAGTAGCACCTTAAAGAATAACAAAATATGTGGCAGGACATGAGCTCTTGCGAGTCACTGCTCGCTTCTTCAGATACACTCTGTGAGTCAATGCTCACTTCTTCAGATACAGCTAGAATGGGAGTCCATCTGTCCTATATATTGGAAAGTGGAGTGATTTCAGATGCCAAATGACATTACTAGGCAAATGGCTACTCTCATTCTAGCTGTATCTAAAGTAGTGAGCAGTGACTTGTGAAAGCTCCTACCCTGCCACATATTTTGTTAGTCTTTAAGGTGCTCCTGGACTCTTGCTCTTTTCCACTGCTACAGACAGACTAACATGGCTAACCATCTTGATCTAAACAGGTTTATAGTTTGCAGAGCTCTGCATAGTGTTATAGTGACGACAGCAAACAACCAGTGTCACATCATATCAGATAAAGAAATTACGAAGCATTTAAAGGCAACAGTGAAGAAGAAAGTCCAGAGAGAAATCAAGACTACTAGTAGTGAAGCTAGATAAAAGAAATGATTAACCTTTTGAACTCCTTTCACAATTTTTCCGCAGCCAGAAATATAAGGGTCAGAAGCACAAGCAATTAGTAGGCAGTGAAAAACTCTGACACGTTCCTTTGCAGGTTTTTTTTTTTTAATGGTTATCTTTACAGTTACCTAGTTTGAATTTACCAGGAAGCCAATTATGCTGCAGCCCCTCCCCCAATTTTATAACAATAGGCATGGAAACATTATTGACTCTCTCTCCCTTGCTTGCTTTGGAGGCCACTGAGTGTAATTAAACATGAGTTTAACACCTTTTATCATTAAAATGCACACACACCTGCTGGGAAGCTCCCAGATCATTTGCCCTCAAAATATCCAGTGTTACAGGAACAATCAGCTCTTTTTATGTCTTCATTAAAAGACTCATTGGCCACAGAAATAAGTTCAGGGAGGGGATCGGATTTGTGTTTCTCAAACAGCAGTTCCTTTCATCGGTTCTGCAAACTGCTTTTGATGGGGAACCATGGACCCACCCTCCACGCTGCCCCTCACCTCTCAGCACCTGTTGATCCCCATCCTGTTTTTTTCATTCCCTCTTCTTAACAGCTGTTTCTCCCCGAGCCCCTCCCTGTTATTCTTCCCCCCCTGCTCCCCAAACTTTCTCACTTTTTTGCGGCTGCTTCTTTCTTCCATGCTGCCTTCGGGTAGGAGCTGCCCGGGCTCAGACTCTACTGCCTACATTGCTCAGCAACCTGAGAGTGTCAACTGTAAACTCATGAATTTTCATGAAATCTCAATCAGCAATAGGGTTGCCAGCCACACTGGGAGGCGGGGACTGCAGATATTAGTGATCACGTGACAGCATAATATCACATCTAGACTCATAACTGGACGTGGTGTCAAAGCATCCCATGACACTCTAGGAATTCCCCAACTCTCTATGGTTTTACCACAAAAGACTGGGGAATTCTTAGCACAGTATGCAACACTGGTTCTCCCCCCCGGCAAGCCTTGTCAGCATTCTTCTTTGGGGGGTCGATTTTAACACCCTCATCTCTGTGTGTATGTGTGCATGTCCCCCTGCAAGCCTGGAGTTCCTTTAGGCTCATGCTGCTTAAAGGGAAAAACAGAACTTAAAAATCACAATACAGAGAGCTGGTGAAGGCTGGCACTTGGCATCCCTTGGAAAGCACCACATCGTCAAAGAGCTGCAAAACACAGAGGATGTTATACTTGCATCCCCAGGATACCTCAAAGGCATTGAGACATGACAGAATAATCTTTTTTGGATCCCAGGCCCTGAGTAAAAGTCACTGTTTCCCCCCCCCAGATCATATTCTCTGAAATATTCTCTGAAATAGCAAGTAATAAGTAATAACTCATTACTTGTTGCCGCATTTGAATGCTTATTACCACTAGATTGCTTGCTGTGCATTAAAATATGATAGGGTTTTACGTGTGTTTGTGTGATCATTTGGGATAATTTTACATACTTACCTATTTACATTTCCAACTGTAGGAAAGCATACAAGGTTTCCTCTTCCCATTTTATCCTCACAACAACTTTGTGCAACCTAGTGAGAAGAACTGCTACAGATCACCCAGCAAGCTTCATGGCAGGGTGAGATGCTGAACCCTGATCACCTGGATCCTTGTTTAGCACTCAAACCACTACACCACATGACTCCTGTAAGCTAGATGACATTATTTGAATCCTTGGCTCACAATATTTAATGCTTCAATCATTCTCCACTTCCTCCCTTTTTTAATTAAAGTTGTCTCAGAAAATAGCAGGTTATGTAATCATTCAGTCCCGCTATTACAGTTCATAATTAATTTTCCTCCACATATCCCAGATTCTATTTTTCAGAAAGTGCTATTAGTTACAAGTAGTTTCACAGCTAAGAGTAGGGGGGGGGGCAGCCTTCACACATTGGCAGAAGATAATAATAGAGGGAGACAGATAAATCTTGTTGGGGAGGGAATACCAAAGTTCCCATCATCTCACCAAAATCTGGTTAGTTGTTGCTGTTGTTTTTTAAAACACTAACGAGGATGTTTTTTTTAAAATGTATTTTTGCAATACAAGTGAAACACCAAGGTGGTCTCTCTCTGTGTCTCTGTCTCTCTCTTTCTCTTATTTTGAGTGCTGAATTTTTAAACAACTGGATTGATCAAGAAAACCCTATTTCAAAGCGGTTTGCCTAATCAGTCTCAACAGAGAAAAAAAGACCAGATGCCCTATGAACAGGAGAGGCCTGCCAGATCAGAACGAAGATTAATCTAGCTAAGCACCTGGTTTCCAACAGCAGCCAGCCAGATGTGCCCAAGAAGCCCGCAGGCAGATCAAAAACTGCCCTCCTCTGTTACCTTGACTTCCAGAAAGCTTTTGATAAAGTTCCTCATCAAAGGCTCCTAAGCAAGCTCAAAAATCATGGGATAAAAGGACAAGTCCTTTTATGGATCAAAAACTGGCTAATTAATAGAAAACAGAGAGTGAGTATAAATGGGCAGTTCTCCCAGTGGAGGGGTGTAAGCAGTGGGGTACCACAGGGATCAGTACTTGGTCCACTGCTTTTTAACTTGTTCATTAATGATTTGGAGTTGGGAGTAAGCAGTGAAGTGGCTAAATTTGCGGATGATACGAAGTTGTTCAGGGTGGTGAAAACCAGTGAGGATTGTGAGGCACTCCAAAGGGATCTGTCAAAGATGGGCAAGTGGGCGTCAACATGGCAAATGGGGTTCAATGTGGCCAAGTGCAAGGTGATGCACATTGGAGCCAAAAATCCTAACTATAAATACACGTTGATGGGGTCTGAACTGGCAGAGACAGATCAAGAGAGAGATCTTGGAGTTGTAGTAGATAACTCACTGAAAATGTATTTGTCGTCCCAATGGTATAAATTGACCCTGAATGATTAAAATTGGCCCTGGGCTAGATATCAACTAAAAGTGTGATGGATTAATCTACCAATTAAGCTAAAGGTAGTTTATGTCCCTACTTGTAAACAGAGAAGAGCAGAAGAAAATGGTAGACATTAAATTTGCATTTGCAGGGATTCCGTCCAAATAGTGAAAATGGAGACTGTAATTCTTTGGTAATAGAATATTGTTTATTGCATAGCTGTTGAAGATCAAATGCAGAGCCAAAACTTGTCATTGTAGACAATACAAAATGTGACAGGCTTTTGTTAGGGATTAGCCAACAAGACCCTATGCCAGGGGTGCGAAAAAACTCATTATTTTTGGGGTTGGGGTATATTGCACGCCAAAAAATATTGGTATTTTCCAATATTCCTGAATCCCAATACAAGTATTTGGATTCAGAAAATATTTAGGAAATACAATTTTTTCCCCTGCTCCGTTATACTTTATGTGAAAAAGGTCCCCATAGGGTATAATGGAGAATTGATCTGGGGGTATCTGGAGCTCTGGGGATGGCCTGTTTTTTGAGGTAGAGGGACCAAATTTGCAGCAAAGCCACATGAATTTGGTGTCTGCAGTGGGGAGGAAGGGAAGGATCTACCCTTTCTTCCTCCTCCATGAGTTCTGCTCCACTCATGCAAGAGCCAAAAGGACAATCTCACTCCTTTCATCCTCCCCCCTGTAGCTTCCCTCCATGTGTAGTAGCCTGCTCAGGTGCATCAACCCCAGGATAAACTTTCCCATGGTCAGAAAGGGCTCCCAGAGAGAAGGGAGGCAGAGAAGAATCTGGGCCGCCACCAATGTGCACGACTGAATCTACTACATCTAAAATAGCCCAAAGAAACACAGCCTTTGAGAACATATTAGTCCAAAGAAACACAGCAAGTCAGTTATAGCTGTCTACTACAAAATCTACCCCGTTATCCTCCAAAAAAGTATTTCTGAATAAGGCTCTGGTATGCGCTCTATGAAAAATCAGAAATGACCAGATCCTATGGGCCTCCTTGGGCAAGTCATTCTATAACAGTGGTCACACAAACACAATGCCTTTGCCTGACCTGAGGAGGAGCAAGCCTTTCTAACAGAGGGAGCAAGAAGGAGGGGGTGGGCAGCTGAGGAATATAGTTAATATCGTCGTTGTCGTCATCATCATCATAATCTGGTTTTTTATCATACACCTTTCTTGCTGAGACTCAAGGTGGATTACATAGTGTAAGTCAAGTAGGATGTGGCATCCAATAAACAAGATAATAGGGTCTGGACTACAGAACTCTGAAAACAAACAAATCTCAAACAGCTGTATTTGTCAGCCACCATGCTGACCTAGGTAGCTCGGGCTAGCTTGATATCATCAGATTTCAGAAGCTAAAAAGGGTTGGTCCTGGTTAGTATTTGGATGGAAGACCACCAAGGAATTCAGGGGTCACTATTCAGAGGAAGGCAATGGTAAACTACGTTTTGTTTGACTCTTGCCTTTAAAACCCTGCAGAGTCGCCGTAAGTCGGCTGAGACTGAATGGCACTTTATACACACACACACACACACACATGCCACCTTGAGTAGTCAGAGAAAGGTAGGGCACAATTATTTTAATAAAATAAGTAAAATATTAAGTGGTACTCGGCAAGTACAGAGTTGGTGCAGGTCCCTTGACCCCTAATCAAGGGACCTGCACCAACTCTGGAAAGACCCCCTAATCACATACCACAAGTGCAAAAGCTTTATCGGATCAAGTGCACTCTGTGTTCAGTTTTTTTTTTTAAATATCAATTCCCATAACTAATTAGAATGAAGAAGATGAGACAAGCTTGTACTTTTTCACCAATTACTTTTCACCTGAGATACAACGCGGAGCCCCAAGCACAAATAATTAGACTCAATCCATTAATTAAAGGTGTTTGTACAGAGACTTTGAACGTACTGTAAATTCTAATTGCATCTAGCAGATGTAGTAATTTATCTCCCCAAACCTCATCAATCCATCCTCTTACTTCATTAGACACCGTGCACAGTAAAAGCACAAGTCCTGAAAGCATAAGTTTTCTCCCTTCTAGCTCATAAATTATGGTTTAATATGTGACGATGTTGAAAGTTCCAGGAAAGCTGTCCTTTAGGAAAGTCAGCATGCTTGTCTGCACTTGTTTATGATAGCCAAGAGCCCAATGCATGTTTAAGTCACCTCTCCTCCTGGAATAGGGTTTTCCAGAGATATTTCAAGCTGCAATGTGAAGAATGTCACCCTCTGCGGACGTAAGTTTTCCTCCAGTGGAATTGGTATGCTGGATCTATCCCATAATAACAAAATGTCACATCAAGTCAAAACCAACTCATGGTGACCCCAGGGCAATAGGGTTTTCAAGGCAAGAGATGAGCGAGGGTAGGAGGCCACAAGGGAGCCTAAATCCCCTCTAGGGATATCCAACTAGTTTTGTGGTTAAGTCTTGACCAATGTGGGGTAAAGTGATGCACAAGTACGTCCCCCCCATTTATTTTACCTGCAGTTCCTGGTGACAAAGGGTGCTGTCACACGCACCAGATAAAATGGGGGGGGGGGAGCAAAGCTATTTCCTCTGGAGGAATTTGACCTGCAGTTGCGAGACTACACTTCCTTTTGAAGCCGCGGGCACAGCCCATCAATGTGTGATCAGACGCAACCAACGCTCCCTCTAAGCAGTGGAGTCTTGTGAGCAAAAAGTTTACTTTGTGAGCTCCTGGAATTAAAGTTGTGAGCGAGCGATTTGGCTGCTGCATAAATTAGTTTGCTCTGGAGCCATCCTTCCTGAGCTAAGACAAAAATGTGTGTGCTGGAGGCTAAAAAACTGTGAGCTAGCTCACACTAACTTAGCTTAGAGGGAACACTGGACACAACTGCGGGTGAGTCTCTTTTTGTGTGCCATTTGTTTCCCATGCACTTAAACGAAGAATTGATGAGCTGCACCCCTGCACTGAGGGCTCCCTATGGAGTTTGCAATGATACGCATACCGTGAAGGGGGGAAAAACCACGACACGGAGTCAGGATGGCCAGATCAGACCATCCCGATGGCATTAGAGCTCGCTGGAGCGATCAGACAGGGGAAAGTCCACCTGTGGCCCATCGCAACCCATTTACTACCGGATTTCCCTCGTGTCTTTTAACTCTGCTTCGGTAGCAGAGCAGAATGGGTTGCCAATGACTGCGGGACACTTCCCAGACGTTGTTGTCTGATCGCTCCCTTTAAATCTGCCCAGCATTCACGCCTATGCCAGATCTAATTGTGCGCGTGATCGCAGCCAAAGACCATGGTCATGCCACCTCTTTTGACAGACGGGTCTGTGTTTCCTGTCATGGCATTTTAATATTGTTTTTGTACTTATATGCAATCGGTGCTAAAATGTGTCAGTTTCAATAGCAACATTTCTGCTGAATTTTATTAATATGGTCAGAAGAAAAGATGACTAAAGATCCCCCCCCCCCAATGTAGCCTGGACAGCCCAGTCTAGCCCAATCTCATCAGATGTCCGAAGCTAAGCAGGGTCAGCCCTGGCTAGTATTTGGATGGGAGACCACCAAGAATACCAGGTTCACAACGCAGAGGCAGGCCATGGCAAACCCAAACCACCTCTGAACGTCTCTCGCCTCGAAAACCCTATGGGGTCACCATAAATCAGCTGTGACTGGACAGCACGTGGCACTTTCCACTTCCAGTGTAAAAGAAACTTCAGAGCAAACCATAACTCTTACAAAATTGGGTAATGTTGTACTGGGGAGTTTTTAAAACAGTACGGCCAAGATATACAAGAGGGGGAAAGTTGACTAATGATACTGCAAGAGTTCATAAATAATGTGTCCCTAATATAATTTTGAACTCTTTATAACACTTACCTTTAACCTGTTGGAAAAGGCAATGTCTGGTGGACAAAGAAAAAGAGAATAAAACCTTGAAGGGGGCTGCAAGGAGACAATTAGACAGGATAGTGAGGTCAGCACCTTCTCTCTCCTGTTAATTGCCATCCTTTGTCTGTCTCCAGATTAATAATCTTAGGGCAATTTCCTCTTTCTTCTCGGAAGTTCTTCATTCAGTCTTACTCTCTCTCTCAGCTAGGGATGTAGTTAGGAAGCTATCTCTCTCTCTCTCCTCTTTCCTATCAAGTATATTAGTTCCTAAATAAACCTTTATCCACTCTTTAATCAGGTCATGCACAGTTGCTGTGTTAATTACTCTGTCAATGGGGATTATGATGGCCCTGGTTAAGTGCATCTCTGATTAAAGGTGTAGATAGGTTGCCAGAGGCTCTTGGCACGAGGAGGCGGGAACAAAGGAACAAAGATGGTGACCTCCTGTGGTGCACAGTATGGTCACTCCATAGACAGGCTCACAGAGAGCATCTATCCGATTTGGAGAGAAAGAATGAAGACCAATGTTCCCTCTAACCTGTGGAGTCTTGTGAGCAAAAATTCTACTTTGTGAGCTACTGGCATTAAAGTTGTGAGTGAGCGATATGGCTACTGCATAAATTAGTCTGCTCTGGAGCCATCCCTTCCTGAGCTAAGACAAAAATGTGTGAGCCGGAGGCTAAAAAACTGTGAGCTAGCTCACACTAACTCAGCTTAAAGGGAACACTGATGAAGACCCATCTTATTGGAAAAGGCTGGTGGACTGTTATCCAGACTGACTGCCCAGCCCAAGGTACAGAGCAACAGACTGCATGGAACGCCAGAAATGACCAGGCAAGAGGTGCTATTATCACTGGTTTAACAGACAGACAGGTATTAAGAGTCATTAAGATGCCAACAGCTAAGGCTGTATGGGCCGAGTTGGAAAGATTTATCTACTCTTTAATCAGGTTGTGCACCATTGCTGTGTTAATTACTCTGCCAACTTAAATATGATTCAGGCTTCCTCTCCCTGAAACTCTTAATCATTTGTAATTAAGAATTACAAGAGGCGGGACCCGCGATACCCGCGCGGGGGGGGGAGCTCTATGCAGAGCAGGCAGAGGAAGAAGCAGCAGCAGCAGGTAAGTTTCCCCGTTGATCCCGCCAATTCCCCCCATCTCCTTCACCACCATCCTCCACCACCACCACCCCGGCTCAGGGGCGAGGCCCGAGGGGCTTGCAGCCGCCGGGCCTCACTGATCTCCCCCCTGCCTCCTCCCCCTTAGCTCTGAAGTGAGGCCCGAGCGGCTTGTAGCTGCCAGGCCTCAATGGTCTCCCCCCATCTCCTCCCCCCCGGCTCCGAAGTGAGGCCTGAGCGGCTTGTAGCCGCCGGGGCTCGCCGATCCCCCCCCTTAGCTCCGAAGCGGGGCCCGAGCGGCTTGTAGCCGCCAGGCCTCGCCGATCTCCCCCGCACCTCCTCCCCCCCAGCTCCAAGGCAGTTCGCAGAGCGTTCCCTGAACATGTGCAGGGAAGGCTCTTTTACTTTTGGGAGGATTTAAATATCCCCCCGATATTCTTTCCAACTTTTCAGATTTTTGTGCACACCTGGGGACTGCCCCAAGTGTGCAGGAAAATCTCCCTGCCCCCCAAGTGCCCCCGATGTGCGGATTTAGATATCCGCACGCAGGGGTAACCTTTTGCTATTAATATATAGATTTATTTACACCCTGGAAATCTTGTTGGTCTTTAAGGTGCGACTGGACTCAAATCTTGTTCTTCATTTATACCCTGCCTTGCTCACCAATGGAGACCCAAAGTGGCATACATCATTCTCCTCTCCTCTGTTTTGTCCTCTCAACAACCCTGTGAACTAAGTTAGGCTGTGAATGTGACTGGCCCAAGTTTGCCCAGCAGGCTTTCACAGTGGAGTGGGGATTCAAACCTGGGTTTCCCTGATCTTAGTTTAACACTCTAGCCACTACACCACACTGACTCTCAGTTGTGAGATAATGTAATAATAATAATATTATTCCATTGACTCTTTTCCATTCAGATTTTGGGTTGGTTATACGACAGAGACTGTTTTGGTAGCACTGGCGGATATTCTACAGCTGTTGATCCCTAGAGTAAATGCATCCTTTTTAGTATTGTTAGACCTGTCTGCTGCTTTTGATGCAGAGGACCATGACATTCTCCTAAACCAAGTGGAGCATAATTTTGGGGGAAGTCATAGAAGTAGTGACAGACTTCTCGTTCCTGGGATCCCAGATCACTGCAGATGGTGACTGCAGCCATGAAATTAAAAGACACCTGCTCCTTGGGAGGAAAGCGATGCCAAACCTAGACAGCATAATAAAAAGTAGAAACATCACCCTGCCAACAAAAGTCCACATGGTCAAAGCAATGGTATTCTCAGTAGTAATGCATGGCTGCGAGTGTTGGACCATAAGGAAGGCCGAGCACTGAAGAATAGATGCTTTCAAATTATGGTGCTGGAGAAAACTCTTGAGAGTCCCTTAGACTGCAAGGAGATCAAATCAGTCTATCCAAAAAGAAATTAACCCTGACTGTTCCCCGGAAGGCCAGATACTGAAGCTGAAGCTCAGATACTTTGGCCACCAAATGAGAAGGGAGCACTCACTGGAAAAGACCCCGATTCTGGGAAAGACTGAAGGTAAAAGAATACTGGGATTAAAGTTGTGAGCGAGCAATTTGGCTACTGCATAAATTGGTTTGGTCTGGAGCCATCCTTCCTGAGCTAAGACAAAAATCTGTGAGTTGAAGGCTAAAAAAAAACTGTGAGCTCGCTCACGGTAACTCAGCTTAGAGGGAACACTGCCTGCAAGCTATTTCTGCAGAAGGGGAAACCAGGGTGATTTCTCACTAGAGTTGCCTCGCAGCACAGCGCCGTTTGCCCCAACACAAACATGTAAATTTCACACCCGAGGCTGCGGGGCTGCATTTGACTCGGGGCTTCGCCCGATTTCCTCTGCAGTTTCATGATCCTCAAAAACCAGGATCATGAAACTGCGGAGGAAATTGGGTGAAGCCCCGAGTCAAAATGCAGCCCCGGAGCTTCGGGTGTGAAATTGACATGTTTGTGTCGAGGCAAACGGCGCTGTGCTGCGAGGCAGCTCTAGTGAGAAATCGCCCTTAGACTTGACTGTGTGACTGAACAGCAGCACTGTTCTCTAGTAGTTTCTGACTTTTTTGTCTGAGTGCTGAGAAAGTGTCCCTTAGTGAGGAGGAATCAGCATCTTGGGAGTTGTCCCAAGGATTTACATGAGGTCCAGTGGTGCCTCTCATCCTCATGCTAAAAATAAATCCCAGTAAGACAGGTATTGTCAGGAAGGAGTCAGAAGGACTGATCTATCTCAGCTGGGAAATCCTGTTTTGGCTTTGTGGATGTGAAGAAACTGAAGTGGCTCTTGGAGCTGGACTTGCTTTGTTTTTGGTGGGTTTTTTTTTAACCAACCAAGTGAGTGTTGTGGCCAGAAGAGCTTTCTATCGGCTCTACTGGACTCAAAAGCTCCTGCAGAAGAATTATACATTTAAGACCTCAGTGGGAAATTTATTTCTGGGCTCTATAGGCAAAGAACAGAACAGAATGTAGTGTGGAAGATCTTCTAGGACCAAGGCTCCACAAATACACAAATGAGCAACCATCAGTGTTTGGATGAAGCAACTATTTAGAATAGCAGAATCCCTGGTTTGAAATCACACAGATGTTATGGTCATTCTAAAATTGCAGAAGGTAATGTCTGACAGAGAAGAGACTCTTCCATGGTCCTTTCTGAACTCAAAGGTTATCTCCCCTCTTTAATCCTATCGACGTTGCCTGATTGATCCATGGTTCTATAATGCCTGGATAAGACTACTGTAAAAAATACTACATGGGGCTTCCCTTGGAAACTGACTGAAAATGACACCTGGCACAGAATTCATGAGTTAGTCTCCATTCTGAGGGGAAAAGGATTTATGAAGGTGACACCACTTTTTAGCTTCCAGGGTTTTTTTCTGGCAGTGACGACTTTGCTATTTTGTGTTTTATACTTCTACTTTTGTAAGTCACATATTGATTCAAAGACGTTTTATAAATGAAATAACTGACAGACTAACATCACTATTTACTTGCATGATTGACATCTGTCAGACCAAGTACCTGAGGTTAACAGACACCAATAGCATAAGAACTACGACTGCCAAGCCTCCAATGGGAGTGGGGATACCCAATCCCCAGGTCTCATTGTTCACTGCCACTCGGTGCACCAGAGGGAGAAAAATAAAAAAATAAAAATAAAAATGCAGCCTTGTGTAATTACCAGAAGTTCTTCCTGGAAGTGACAAACCATTCAGAAAAACCATAGGTAAAATCATAGAGTTTCTAGCAATTCCTAGAGCTACCCTTTTTCACTTCCAGTAAGAACTTCCGGTAAGTACATAAAACTTTATTGTTTTTCCTCCTGTGATGTTGTGGCACCCCCATCGCAACCCTTCCCATCAGTTGCCAGGCACCGCTGGCAACCCTAGTAAGAACAGAACTCGAATACTTCATTCCCTTCCTCAGTATTGCCAAGAAACTGTCCTCTCTGATAGCTGGAATTGACTTTAGGTTTTCTAAATAGCACTGTAATTTACAGAACAATGGCCCTGCTCTGTCTGCAGTCCAGAAGTTTAATCCTCATCATGGAACTTTCATACAGTCTCTTGGGCAACACGCTGCTGCCTCCCCACCCCCATGCTACGATTTCCAAGCCGCATTATTAGCGCATGTGTGGGCCAAACCCTCACAAGCCAACACAGAACTTTTAAAAAGCAATCTTATTTGATCATACCTGGAGGAATCATATCATTATTATTTGCATGATTATTAACAACAATATCATTATTGGCCCATATATCATTTGGCAGGGTATTTGAAAAATAAATAAATGTAAATGGAGGGAGTATTACAGTATATCTCAATCATAACTAAACATAAAAACTAAGTTGTGTCCTTCACTTTGTCAGCACTTCCACAGAATCGAAGCTT